AGCTTCCGCAATCGATCGCTCTGAACACTGCGGGGGGGAGTCTAAGGCACTCGGTTCAGTTCGCATTGCTTGTCCCAAGTTCAAGGGTGGTAGCTTTAACGTTTTAGTCATGCCGGAGACCCCGTGCGTGATTTCGGTAGGAGAGCGGTGCATGGATCACGGCTTTAGTTTCTTTTGGCCAGCAGGTCGAAGGCCCTACCTATTGTTGCCCAATGGCCAAAGAGTGGACCTGGCAGTTGAGGGCAATATACCATACTTGACCCTGTCAGGCAAGGAGGCGCTGGGTCAGTGGATGTGCGCAGCTGCCGCCGGGAGGAGTGAGCCCCCCGAGCGGTGGTGTCGCGTGACGCCGGGCGCCAAGGCATTCTTGGACAACGTGGAATCGGCGGGAGGCCCTCCGCCCCATGCTGTCCAGACTCGCGTAACCATAGACCTGCATACACATGAGCTGATTGGCGCCCACAGCTACGCTGATGGGCGGCCGACTGAGATCGCGCCCGCTTTCCCATCTTCGATAGACTCTGCGGATACCATCACCTACTTCTACTATTCGCCTCAAAAGGCCAGCGAATGCGGTTGGAATCGGACGCCGACCGGTATTGCTGCTTCTAAAAGTCTCAAAGTCTCTCAGCTTTGCCCGACCACGGTCGAGCCGTCGGTCCATTCGACGAGCAGCCCGGCAAAGCCGAGGCCTGCGCTGCCGCATACAGATGCCGTTACGGATACGGAGTTTCAGGATACACCCCGTACGAAGTAAGCCGAGGACTGGACTCCAGTGCGTGCAACGCGGCCCCAGGACCCGAGGAGGGCGAGGTTGGAGACGCTGACGGCGTCGACTTAGTCGACGTCGACGCACCGCCAGATTTAGACCCAGACGTTCCGGAGGTTGCCGAGCGGTTCAAGAAGGCCGCAGCCTCTCTACCGCACCTTCTAACTCACACTCCCAAGAACCCATGTTGTCCAGTGTGCAATTGGGCCAAAGCTATCAGAAAGCAACAGCGCAAAGCGCAGAACAAAGGGCTAAAGGTTCCCCGCCCATACGCTAACCCCACTTCGTTCGGACAGCCGACGACGATGGATCATTGGTTTGCGACGGATGAACTCTCGCGGGGGCTCCACGATGAGACCGCGTGTGTGACTTTTCGCGACCGAGCTACGGATTTTCTCGCCGTTCAGCGTGTACACGACAAGTCTGCGGTTCACGTTTGCAACTTTTTGGTGAACCTGAGAGCCCCGGAGGACAAGTTATAATATTGTTATACAGATGGTGCAAGAGAGCTTGCCAGGGCATGTTACGAGCTCAATTTTGCCCATGATCCTACCATCCCAGGAAATGAAGCAAAATGCTGTCGCTGAGCGGGCGAGCGGTGTTGTGCAGATGGGAGCCAGAGCCTTACTCATGCAGGCTGGTTTTCCACCACCATATTGGACCTACGCGGTCCGCTATTTCTGTCTATGCTACAATACTAGGAGCCCCGCTGAAAAGGCAGTCCAGTTGGGAAAGACGCTTCGGATGCCAGTTTAATGCTCCGCTTCTTCCCTTCGGATCACTTGTCCGTTATGTGCCTCCGCCTGAATCCCGGTTTCGCACCGCCAAGACTGGCGCGACGATGATTCCAGGGATATACTTGGGGTACGTGCACAAAACGGGGGGCTTGGTTGGACCAGATAGTTACGTTACACCTCTGAGACAATTGGACGGTCTGAATATGGAATCAGGGCGTACCCCAGAGGGAAAACGACCTACGATCGAGAAGTTGGATCAAGTGTACAGTAACATTTTAGATGGTACTGCTGATGACCAATCGCCTCAGTTTCCCTTGCGAAACGCATACGAGAAAGCGGCGAGGACGCCCCGCGTTTTGACTCTGAGGCCGATTTGGAAGAAGACGGCCCTGGGGGTCTGTATGTGGGCGATGTGCTTTTGGTAGTTGACGGCAGGGACCCTCAGCGCGATTCCCACCCTGCAGACAAAAACCAAAAACTGGGACTCGCACGACTCGAGTATCGTCCGGACAGACAGTCCAACTTCTCAGCGGCTAAGCCACGCGAGAAGCTTCCAGGGAAAGGGCAACTTCTTGCCCGAACAATTCAACATTTGGATACGATTGAATACTTTGAAGACAGACGGATTGTTGCTGGACTTACAAAAGAAGAGCTAACTCAAAAGCTTCCGTTGACAGGCGCCGTCGAAAGACATGTAGTATACGAGTTGTTCTTTATTATGGCCCTGCTTATGCGCCTATAACCCGAGTGTGGGTCACAGACCCAGACCCAAAGTACAGTGCCCAATGGCTGAAGAAGTTACCTAAATCTACCAATCCCGGAATACACCCTGGACCATGGTTCAACATGAATCAAGCCCAGCGCCGACAGGCCGTGGAACAATACAAGGCAGAAAAGAGAGGATTCTTCGGTATAGAGGATCCCGGCCCTTGTCTCGGCCTCCTGCGCGACATCGGCCTAGATGTGGATGACCCACCGACTCCGCCTGGTCCCGCAGTGGCTCAGCAACTTGCGGCTCTTCCCGAAGCTAGGCTAACTGCACCTAAGGTGGCTGAGCAGCTACGTCGCATACAGAATGGGAGCCCGCGCTACACCCCTGGCAGTGGGCGAGGGGCGGCGTCGCGAAACACCCAGGTCTGCCAAGCCACCTCTGAGGCTGACGATTCATCAGAAGAAGATGTTCCCAAAGCACATCTGTCAGATGACGAAGATAATTTGGTGGAAACAGACATGGTATGGAGGCGCTATTGCAAGAGACGGGCTTCCCTCCGGCTCAGCCGGTAGGGATCCCTTGTCCGATGATGATAACGGAAAATCTGAGGACAACTGTGAAGCAAGCCAGAGCTCGAGTCTGGCGGCCACCGCGTCGCGGCGAAACGTGCCTCGCATGCCGTTACAAGATAACTCAGCTGTAGATATCAGTCATCGTGACAAAGAAAGGTTTGATTTGCAATACTTCTATAATCCTTTAACTGATATAATATCTGTCATCGATGAACCCTTCCAACTTCCCAGTGACTGGCATTGCGCCCGCATAGATGCCGCCGTTGCCAGATCTGTCTCGAAAGACGAGGCCAAGGCAAACAAAGACGCTCAAGCTGCCTTGAGGAAAGAGTGGGACAGATTGCGCGACATTGGCACGTGAATAGAGGATGGTGTTAGAGAGTATTCCGATGTAGTTGCCGAACTCAAAGGGAAAACAGCCCATTTGGGCCGGTTAGTTGCGATCCCTGTCGAAAAGAACTCGGAATTGCCGTTCGGACACAAAGGCCGTAAGTACGAAGGTCGGGTAGTCTTTGACGGTTCAAGTGTCAGAGATCAAAACAAGGACGTGGCATTATTTCATCCAGCAGTCCCGCGACCATGCAGGCCAGCAGAGCAGCTGATACCCACGGGCTGTTCGAAGGCCATAGCATCGAACAAGCTGATGCTCGACAAGCTTACACGCAGTCGAAATTGGGAGGCACTCCTACATGGGTTTTCTTGCCTCGTGACGAATGGCCCAAAGCATGGTCCAACATGCGGAACCCCGTATCTGCACATTACTTATCATTGTACGGGCACCCTGATTCGGGCGGATATCGGGAGCCGCATTGCGAGGGACATGTCCCGGCTAAAGACTTTGTGAAATGTAGTCCGTGGCGTAGCTGTTATTTCCACAAAGAATTGCAAAACTTCCGGATCATCTATGTTGACGATTTCAAACTGTCGGGACCTGCCGACAAGCTAGCCCAGGGATGGAAGTTACTTCAAGAACCCTCGGAACATTGCCTTAAGGGCATAGAAATAGATCCTCCAACGGCTGTTGGACGATATTCTGGATGCGAGCATAGATTATCAGCTCAGACAATTGAGTGGCATGGAGAATTGCCTACGATACTTGACCCGCCTCCTCCCAAAGTTAAGAAAAACGCTTCCGTCGCAGACGAGAGTAGTGAGGAGGAAACGGGGGGTGACTCGGCGTCCCAGACGACCGAGCCATACCAGCCGAGGGAACCAAAACTAGCTAAAGTCATAGAATACGATATGACAGAATTAGTCGATTCCTGTGTTACGTTATACGCTCAATTGACGGACACCGACCCGGCTACATATCCGGCCGCGGGTGCCCCGTTTGGTCCTGAATCTACCGACTTAGAAGATGGACAGGGCGGCCCCAGAGGAGAAAGTTATTCCCCAGCTGAGGAGGCTATAGCGTCAGCGTTACAAATCAATGTTGATACCGGCCCCCCTGACCAGGAGATAGAAGTGCTTGGCCTTGACGCCGCAGCAGCCAGCCCTGATGACCCTGAGCCACCGACTCAGTCGGGCGCGCTTCAACCCATTGCAGCAAAAGTGTTGATGAAGATACTTTACGGGGCGAGAATGGCCAGATACGACTTACTCCGTGCTGCGTGTCAAACTGCCAGTTGTATTACGAAGTGGGCAGAACAGCAAGACATGGACCTCTTCCGCCTCATATGTTACATCAAATGTACGTCACATTATCGTATGACTTCGTGGGTGGGTGACAAAAAGGAGGGCGCCCTGTTAAAACAATACTCTGATGCAGATCTGGCAAGTGACATTCGCACACACAGGAGCACGAGTGCCAGCTATCAAGCCATTTGGGGTCCGTGTACACGGGCAGGCCATTCGATGGGATCGCAAAGACAAACACGCGTATCTCACAGTACGCTTGAGGCTGAGATCGTCGCAGCCGACCTTGCGTTGCGCAAGGAGCTGCTTGCGGCATTACCGCTGTGGGAGATCCTGCATGATAGACCGGTACGATGTCTGAATTAAATACAGTAAGTGGGAGAGGGGTGAGCGGGGCCGCATGACATTGCGGCTCAAGCTTTTTGGGGGCCCAGGCTCCCATGAACGAGCTGGTCCTTGAGATTGCTCGGGGACTCTCTACCTCCCTCGCAGTCCGCGCATCCACAGTCGGCTGCCCTGATTGCGTTTGCCAGTGCTCACCGACGCTGGCCTGTGCGGAAGGTTCTCTGCCTCAGGAGTATACGACCCCGACGAGCCCGAGCGGGCCGACCTTCTTCTTCGTTGGCACGATCGTCGGGGCGCTCGGAGTGCTGGTGGTGCAGTACTGTGTGATCGGGGCTCGGACCACGCCGACCATATCGACCGCCGCCGCTGCTGGGTTTGCTCCGCTCACCGACGACGTAGAGAAGGTTGCGCTCCAGCAGCTGAATCTTCTTAGGCAGCGGCGCAAGAATTCGGCGTGATGGCTGCCCCTATTCCAGTGCAAAGCCTCGGCATCGAGGCTGGTGATTTTGGTGCTATCCAGTATAACGTGCCAGGTCCGCCCATCTTTCACGAGCGGCTCGTGCTCATCGAGCCCGGCGCTGGTTCGACCGTGAGTGTGCTCACCCCAGATGGAGATGAGTACGACGAGGATTGGCTTCATGGTGCAGATGTAGTGTCGTTCGGATTGATGGCCTTAGGGGCCTGTGGAGGTGATCCTCCTGCTGGACCTGGTGGAGCTGTACTACCTGTTTATCGGTTTCAGAATGTACCCACACCCGCGGTGTTCAACGCCGCCCGTGCCCGAGCGGCTGCCCGGCGGGGAGTGGCGGTGCCGATCGACGGCAAGCAGCCCAACCTGGTCGGGCGCGCGGTCGGAGCCGCCCCAGCCGGGGCCGCCCCCGCCGCGGAGGCCGTCGTGCCGGCCTTGGGTGGAGGCGCTGGCGCCTTGGCGGTTGCGCTTGGTCCCGCTCCTGGCGGCGGCCCTGGCGGCGCCGTGGCCGGCGCAGGCGCGGCCCTTGGCGCCGCCGCGGGCGCAGTGCCGGGTGCGGCCGCGCCGGGTGCCGCCGCAGCGGCCGTCGCACCGCCCCCCGTCATCGGGGCAGGCGGTGTGCTGGTGCCCGCCGCCATGGCCCCTGGCGCCGCCGCCCCCACGGTCGCCGCATTCCCGACGGTAGACATCCGCGTGCAGCCGATCCAGCAGGACGTGAGCGGGGCCCGCTTCAGGGAGTTCAGGTTCGCCGTGGAGGGCATGGTCGAGACGCCCTTGAATGATTTTCCAGTGCGGGGGCCCCGCACTACGCTATGGCTCTGTCGGTTCATGGTAGCCAACGGCCAGACGCCTCTCGGGCGCCATGCTCGATGGAAGGCCGACGCCAAGCTGCAGGTGAACGACGGCGGAGTCGAGCAGCACCTCATGTGCTGCCAGATGTTGGAGAGTATGGCCACCTACGACCAGTTAAACCTCCCCGACATCGCGGCGGCCGAGATCATGTCTCGAACGATCCAGCTGTCCGAAGAGAGGCATCGTGACAGGATGCCTAGCATAGCTGGAGGAGGCTCGGATGGCGTGCAGGACGCCTTCTTGTACATGGGCCTCGACCACGTCCGCGGCAACGTCGCGGTCTGCCCATCCCTCCAGAGCTGGGTGTCGAGCGAGCTGCAGAAGGAGGTCTCGGTCATGAAGGAGAGGCGGAAGGCTCGGGAGGAGAGACAGAGCGCGAAGCAGAACAAGAAGAACCCCAAGAAGGACAGCAAGGATGATGGCTGATCATCCACGGGCGGCGGGACCAGGCCGCCCGCTCGCCCATCTTTCAGAGGCCTTCGAAGTCGGGCCACGCTCTGTGCCGCCCGGCCTCACTCGTGTACATATCTCTCCCCCCCCTGGGCTGGCGCCACCCTCGGTCCTGGACCGCGGCGCCGCCGCTTGCCAGAGCTCTCTTGCCCCCTCGACGCCTGGCCCTAAGCACGAGCCCGGTCCAGCGACCAGGGGCGCTCGCGAGCGTGACATTTTCCCTTTGCCTTTTTTGCCACGGGAGGTGAGGCAGTGCCAGGGGGCAGCGCAGCCTTGTCGGAATGCGGAGCGTCGGAGGCGTCGGGTTCAGTATTACAGGGATTGGGCCAACGACGGGGTTGCTTGTCTGAATCAGATGTCTGGGGAGGCCCCTACGGAGGGCCAGGTTACCGTTACTAATGCTGGTCAGAACGACGCCCTCCGACATATTCGCGAATGCTACGCTGCCATCTCTGCGCCTCCACCAGATCTGGCTCCAGGTGCGGGATCTTTACGTGAGATCTGCACAGCCTCAGGACTCTACGACGACGGGGTAGGGTCCACCAGGAGGCCGTACAATCGGAGCTTACTTGCTCTTCCCGACCAGATAGATGCCACATGTGTGACAAATATGCTGTCGGCCGGGGACTCGGACTGGTTGTGCAACTATCAGGTGAATTTGCTCAGGGACGCTAATGAGGCCACCTCCCTTCATCAGGAACTGGGTCCCGCGGAACCCTACGTGGACCCCTTCTTGAGGAACAACCCCACCGCCTACTCCGACTTCCTCCACCTCTTGTGCGACCGCGGGATGCTCGAATGGACCCTGGCCCCAAAGGATGCCCACACTATCGGCGTGTTTTTCGTGGCCAAAAAGGACGGTAAAATTCGGGTTATATTCGATACCAGGGTGTGTAACTACTCGTTCAAGGACCCACTCTCCGCTCGACTACCTACTGCATCTTCTCTCAGCCAGGTCGAGACCGACGGCCCGGTCTTCATTGCAGCGGGCGATATCAACGCAGCTTTTTACAGGATGGGCTTGCCACCGTTTCTCAGGCGCTACTTTCGGCTGCCATACACGGCCGCCCGACACCTGGGTTTGAAGTTTTTGAACGGGCAACGACTCCACCCAGATACAGTCATCGCCCCCAGGCTCTGTGTTCTCCCCATGGGCTGGTCTTGGTCACTCTTATTATGTCAGAGCGTCGTTCGTCATACTATTTCGTCGTCTAAGGTTCCTACTTCCCTGGTCATCCTGGACGGTTTACCGGCTGTGGAAGTGAAAGGGGGGGACGTTGCCGTTGCGGGGTATGTAGACAATGTGCTGACGGTGGGGAGGGACAAATCGGCTACCGAGGTGGTTTTGGGAGACATCAGGAGGTCTCTGGAGGAGAAGGGGCTTATTTTGCATGAGGTGGAGTCCGGGGCCCAGGATGCTGTTTTTCTTGGTCTCCAACTGTCAGGCGGGGACCGACTTTCAATAAAGCATCGTAATCTGTGGCGTCTGAGGTTTGCAATCGAGGCGCTACTGCGACGGAGGCGTTGCAGCGGGCACCTACTCAGGGCTCTCTTGGGACACATCACCTGGGCGGGCCTGATCAGACGTGAAGTTTACAGTATTTTGCAGTGCAGCTATGCGTATGTCACCAAAAACGGCCCTGGGGTCGCGGAGCTCTGGCCTGCGGTACGCCGGGAACTTTGGACCATCAGGTGTCTTCTGCCACTCCTGTGTGTGCGCTGGACGGCGGCCTGGCATCCCACTGTGCTCGCCACGGACGCCTCACCGTTCGGGCTGGGCGTGTGTACACGGCGGGCTGACCCAGCCGAGATTGGTGCCATTGGCCGAGTATCCGAAAAATGGCGCTTCAAGGTTGAGCAGTGCATCGACGCTAGGAATCGCCCTCTCCGACTCCAGCTTCGCCCCTGACCGACACCCTGCTCCTACTGTACTGGGACCCGAAGGGGGAGGTATGAAGTGTGACAGGGAGGTTGGGTCTACGCTCAGTTCTTCTGGGATTGGGACTGGGGCTGTGGCTTGTGACGTGGTTGGGGGACCTGTGTTCAGTTCTTCTGGGATGGGATCCACGACACCTCTGGAGGCTGGTTCTGGGAGCGGTTTCAGTTCTAGCCGGGCCGATACAACAAGGGTGACTAGCATTGAGGACCTAGCTGTAAGTTTCGACGAGATTAGCAAAAATTTTATGGACGACAAACATTGGAATACTGTTATAGCTACCAGAGTAAGGCATAGGTCTAACATTCTCGAGCTCGAGGGCGACGCCTTGGTCCTGGGATACCGACATATCCTCCGATCTGGGGTTGCCCGAGGTTCACGGGTTCTGGCGTTGGTCGACAACCTACCGCTCTGCCTTGGGGCGGTCAAAGGCCGCGCTCGGTCCTCCTATCTCCTCCGACCTCTCCGACGTGTCGCTGCCCTTTCACTCGCAACGGGGAGTCGCCTCTACGTTCGGTGGGTCCCGTCCGAGAGGAATCCGGCTGACAAGGGGTCCCGCGGGCAGTGTGGCTTCTTCGCAGGTCCCTCCTGGCTCGAGGTCCAACAACAGGCTCCGACCCCTGCACCACCGCCTCCACACCAGCCTCCGCGTGCACCTGCCGAAGCCAGATACCACGAGGGCCCCCCACAGGCACACCCCTGCCACACCGACATAGGTGGCGGGAACGTGCCTGTAGGGCGGGGGCCCGGTGATGGGCAAGTCCGTGGCCCGCGGCACGCGCCAGCAGCAGCTCAGCAAGAAGGCCGGGAAGCTCAAGAAGGAACGAGCATCCCGGGCTCGGGAGGCGGCCTCGAAGGTGGACGCCAGCGACCGCTTCCCTTGGATGAGTGTGCTGGAGAAGATTGCCGTGAAGCCGGGGACCGTGCTGTTGTACCAGCGGACCCTCCGCCTCTTCCTCGACTTCTGTCGTGTGGCGAAGGTGAGCTGGGTGGACGCGCCCGGGCTGGACGACGTGGTGGTGGAGTATCTGAACTCCATGTACATGGAGGGCCACGGGGCCGACGAGGCGAGCCGGCTCTTGGCAGCGCTGGGCTATGTCTTCCCCGAGTTGTACAAGAAGACGCGGGCCCTGCTGCCGAGGGCGACCCGGTGCGCAGTCAGCTGGTGTCGGCGGACGCCCGCGCAGTCCCGGCTCCCCCTGCCGCGCCTGGCGGCGTTGGCGATCGCGGGAGGCATGATCATGCTCGGGCTCCCGCGGATGGCGATCATGGTTGCGGTATCGCACGTCTGCTACCTACGGCCTATCGAGGCGATGGCGCTCCTCGGCAAGAGCATCGTCGCCGCGGTCCCAGTGGCAGGTGCTGGCTACACCATGATGGGCTTAGTGCTGCACGAGACCTCCCTCGGCATCCCCGGCAAGACGGGGGCCTTCGACGACGCTGTGACGATCGACGAGCAGTGGTTGTGGGAGCCTCTTCTCGGCCTGAAGCAGGCCAGCCTGCCAGACGGGAGCCTGTGGGGGTTCAGCAGCGAGCTCTACAGGGACGTGTTCATCGCAGTGGCCGAGGGTCTGGGGCTAGGACCCTTCGACCCACATCCGTATCAGTTACGACACGGAGGGGCGTCGGAGGACTTGGCGGCCAGAAAGCGAACGCCAGAACAAGTCATGCGCCGGGGTCGCTGGACGACAGTCGCCTCTTTGAAGAGGTACGGGAAAGAGACCAAGCTGTTGCGCGTGATCAACCAAATCTGTCCGTCCGTCTTCAACTTCGGCAGCACGGTGCACCAGAGCTTCGCCGAGGCCATCAAGTTCGGGGTCGGCAATCGGCCCTCCCAGCTGCGAGTGCCTGCAGCCCTCGAATCCAGTGTCAAGCAAGCAGTGAGCAGACTTCCAGCACGGCTAGTATCTCAGATTCCTGCAGTGGCCCCAAGATAAGCCACTCCCAACGGGTGAAGCGGTACCTTCAGCACCTCCTGACTCGGACGCTGAGGAAAGCCACCACCAACCGGAGGGTTATCTTCTTGGAGCTTTTCGCGGGCAGCGGGGGTATCGGCAAGTTTTTGAAGTCCCAGGGGTTCGCCGTTCTCAGCCTGGATGTCAAAAACCACGCTTTCCAGGACCATCTGTGCCCGGCCTTCCAGGCCGTCATCAAAGGTTGGATCCGCGGGAACGTCATCGTTGGCATCTGGTTAGGGACCCCATGTACTACCTGGTCTATTGCTAGACGGCCTGCTATTCGGGACTCGGAACACATTCTCGGACTTCCTGGGCTCAGTGCTGCTAATCAGGCTAAGCTAAATATTGGTAACGACACCTTCCTATTCTCTACCCAGATCATACGCCTTGCAAATCGTCATAATACACCGATAGCTTTGGAAAACCCAAGTACATCTATGATGTGGCGTGCACCACACCTGCGTAGACTACTATGCGACGAATCTTGTGTGGTCCACGTTTGTGACATGTGCCAGTTCAGTGCTAGGTGGAAAAAGCGCACACGGATTGCGCTGTGGAATGCCGGCAGATGTACAGCTATCGAGCGCCTTTGCTGTCCTCGTGGGAATATATGCTCAAGGTCCCACAAGCCGCACATCGAACTGACAGGGAAGACGCCAGAAGGTATACATTGGACTGCTATCGCTGCCGCCTACCCTACACAATTTTGCAATACGATGGGACGATACCTTATGGAGGTGATAAACAACAACAAACAGATCAGAATGAATGAAATATATGGTGTGCGGCCTACGGCCAGTTGACCAGTCGGGTTCGGGTACTGGAGGCTCGGCACCCTTAGCTCCGCCTCTGCCTCGCAAGAGCCCGGCTGCCTCACCTCCTCCTGAGAAAAAGCTGCCCCCTGGCCCCGTGTAAGAGGATCGGTCACTGTCTGAATTAAATACAGTAAGTGGGAGAGGGGTGAGCGGGGCCGCATGACATTGCGGCTCAAGCTCCCACCCTGCTGCGGACCCACCCCGCTTTCGCCTTCTTTTCTTTTTTCTCTGCCCTCAGGGGTACTGGAGGCTCGGCACCCTTAGCTC